CCTTTGTCTTTTTGTTCCTGGAAGTCCCTCAACAGACCAGATTAGGCCAACACACATGATGAGAAAGAGCTTCTTCAAGTCTACCAACTAATCTTACGGTTTCCTCCAGAAAAATATTCATAGACACCCCAAAATAATATTTTGCCAATCATCTAAGAAACCATTAGCCCAGTGAAGTTCACACATAAAATTAACTCTCTCTCTCTCATTATTTTTTCCAGAATTGCATTCTTTCTTTCTTTTATTTGATGGTTCAGAGGAAGAGTCACAAACCTATACAGCAGATAGTATTTTAGTTTACTACTGATTCCTTCCATGAGATGCTATTACCACAATATAGTTATAAGATAGAATTAAAAAAAAAAACAGGAAAAAAGAGAATGATTTTGCTAATTTACAAAATAGAAAGATTCCAAATTTGTTGGTAAAATGTAAATTTGGGAGTTGTATACACTCCTAAGGAATATTCTTGAGGTCCAACATGTTTTATAGTAAAATACTTTTTTTTTAAATCTGAGTAGCGGCAACCTGCAAAAACACAACAAAGGCCTCTGATATTGCTGAATAGGGCAGCTATGATGCTAAACAAGTCTATGTGAAACCACACATACTGGCAAAGGCAGCCATGTATGTGTGGAGGACTCTAGACTCCGTGTTGTAACTGCATGGAAGGCAGATGACCATACGAATGTGATTGCCACAGATGCCCACAGGAACAAAACACCAAGTCAACAGGAATGCAATCATGTTATAGTGTTGACATAAACCGACTATGAAAAATAACTTCTCAAATAAAAAACTAATCAGAATTTGTGGTGTTGACCGATGGGTGAGGAGACAGACTGATGATGTGGTCTCCAAATGTGTGCCCAAGTCTTCCACAACAAGGAGAGTGCATAATGCAAACAATAAGACCAAGAAGGCGGGGTGCAATTCTGGACAAGTGGTCAACCTCAGGAAGCTAAATTCCTTCTCTCGAGTCTGGTTTATTCTTAACATTTCCAGATGAATTCTTCTGTTGAAAGGAAATAAAAGCAGACTGATTATATATGAATTATGCACATTTAATTTATTCATTTGAGATTATCCCTCAATGTTCCATATGTTTTACAGAAACATATCATCACCTTATAAAGGTAATATTAATATCTCGAGTTTAAGGTATCTTTGCATCTATCATTTTTTTAGGTAGCACAAACTATGTAAACTAAGCAAAGAAAGGAATGACTCCCAAAGCAGCTTTTCTGACCTTGTGGCATTTACACTGTCATAGAGGACACAGACATCCATTATATCCGAGGAAAGATAGCTGCAATAAAGGAAAATGTAAAAGGAATAAAAGAGGTGAAATAAAATTTTAGTAATGGTAAATAAGAAGCTAACTTTTACTGAGTAAATACTGTGCTGTCTCAAGTGCTTTTTAAGTATCAATTCATAGATTCTTCTACATTGCATCCCTAAGAGAAAATGATGTTTGTTTCCAAGAGAAAGAAATTGAGGGAGAGAGAAGTTGAGTAATGTGTCAACTATGTTTGATTCCATGCTTTTATCTATTAATTTAATAGAAAAATAATGGATTCAAGACCTGACCACAAACTCACTTTATTGAACAAGTTGAATTTGTCGACACATTATAAAGAAA